TGGATGGCGGAGATATCGTCAAAACTCTGCGAACATATGTCTGCGACACGAAATTAACTGCCCGAAAAGTCCCCGCTGCAGCTTGTATAAGACAGCCAAACTGAGCAGTCCGCAGAGGCTTGTCTTACACCGCATCAACCGCATTCGACTCTCTGTGAAACCACTTTCAGGCTCTCGATAAGCACCGTTTGTCTTATGCGACTATACTTGCTCATCATCCTGTACAACTTGGTCACCGTTTCACCTAGCACTGATCCCGACATTGCAACCATGGCCGACGTCGTGTCCGAAAACCAGGCTTATTTTGGGTGCGTATAATGAATGAGCATTTGTTCTTTGTACTGGGTTATCGTTGCCAAACCGTTTGGGCGTGTACGGTTTGCTTAAGTTACTGGTCGTCTTTTCTTATGCTCCAAGGTAGCAGAGCACACTACCGCATGCGATGCAGTGCTACACAATTCATCCAAAGTCCGTCGCTAATGTATTACAATTATAGCAAGATCGCCACCGAATATGACCAGCGCAACGCGGATGCGATTGTGCAGCTAGAGCGCGGCATCCGAGAGAGGATTCCATTCATTGGTGTCAAGCAAGACGCGAGGTTGCTAGACTACGCTTGTGGTACCGGCATGCTTTCGAGGGTACGAGTTTCCCCTCCCAGGAGAGGTGAGCTCTCAGACGTTGACTTGGACTGACAGTGAGTTACAGGTCTTGGCACACCATACAAGTGAGGCTATAGGCATTGACTTGTCGGAGGAAATGGTCAGGGTATACAACGCCCAGGCCCAAAGCCAGGTCAGTACCATCCACCAGTCCATCACATGAGCATGGGAATCTGTTGCCACGCATCGAGCCCCTTCATCCTCTTCAAGCAGATCTGAATATCCTAACTGCGTGCAGGGCTCTTCCCGCCAAGCCTATCAAGGCAATCTGGCCGATCCTAAGGACCCCTCCCCAACAGCCTTTGCTGATAGCAAGTTCTTCGGATTCGACGTTGCAGGCGTGGGGCTCGGATTCCACCACTTTGACAAGCCAGATCTAGCATCCAAGCAATTGGCCGAGCGCCTCAATCCAGGCGGCGTCCTCTTCATCATTGACTTTGTTGCCCACAAGATAGACCCCAAGGATGCCGCTCTCCGTGGTATAACACATCATGGGTTCATTGAGGACGAGATCAAGAAGATGTTTGAGGATGCTGGACTCACCGACTTTGCTTACCAAGAGCTCCCGGAACCCATCACATTCAAGGATTGTCACGGCCACGATCATGGCCACGGGCATGGTCATAGTCATAATCACCAGCACAATGAGGACAATCACAGCAGCAGTAGTGAGCATGTTCATGGCCATGGGACGAAGAAGGGCTCAACTACAACTAAGAGGATATTCATTGCCAGAGCGTCCAAGCCATAAAAGAGTGTCTAGGATTGTCTCGTCGGCCCTTAGCAATATGCCACCCAGCATCAGAGGCAAGGTATATGACCCTCAAATATGTACGGTCTCAGTGGTTCACACGATGCAAGCTGCCGATGGCCGTCATCTTGGTATTCGGCTTCCAAAGGCGACACGTAATGTCTTGTTCAATACCATTACTTAGCTGCATAAATAATAAGTCACACTGATACCTATAATTGCATAATATCCCTCCGGCGAGTTGCCTCATACGCGATCAATGGTAGTTCCCAGAAGAAATGGCAATCTGAAGTCATCTACAGCCGTTGCAGTCAAAACCTGACTATCCAGGGTACCCAGCTCTCTCAGTGCTCCTACTGGCGTTACATCAGCCACCAGACACTGGAATGAATAAAGAGACTCAGGTCACATTACAAGCCCATTACAAGCCCAATAAAGCCCAGAAACAGCCCGTCTGATCCAACAGTCCGGTCATGCTTTGGTCAAACAGCCGTTCGAGACCGGAGGCTACTACTAGCCCGGCATGAGTAAGTCAGCCCTTCGCCCTGGCAACAGACCCCTTCCGACGAAATCCCTCCCTTCAAGTCTTCCCTCACACCCTTATACCCAACTGGACCGTCCCGTCCCGCCCTTGCGGTCGAAGAAAACCTTGTCCGGAGGAGGAGCCGCGAGTAATGGTGTGCGGATGCATTCTTCCGGCAGCAGCCACGCCACTTTCGATCTCAAGGGATGAAGTGAACCATTCTTGGCACATTAGTCGATGAATAGTCGAAGTTGGCTATGGGAAATTAGAGATGCCGTGTTTTGAAGAAACAAGAGAAGGGAGGGAAATGGCTTGTCCGGGGCGGTGCGATCCCGTGTCTGATAGGCGGGAAAGGGATATCATGTGAGAGTCGCCCCTTCAGCCTCATCCGCGCTTCCAGAACGCTCAGAGCAAGGGTCTCCCAACTCGTGCGACAAGGCTTTGCTCTGCTGAAATGCTTTTGGCCACGCCCTTTGTCATTGAAAGGCATTGGGCGACTCTTGGTAAACAAGTGTGAAACACACTTTTATTGTTGACGCTGGTGCCACCGAGCGGAGGTCTGGTCATTTCCGTCGAATGCGCCAGCTCAAGTGCATGAGATACGTATCGATGACATTAGCCCTTCGTTGTCTGTGCGAGGTCAGCTTCGATTATTGAAACGTCTGTTGGTCATGTAGTGACCGAGTGATGCAATATCATTGGGGTCTGATCGTCGGGAGATTATGAGTTACCATCTCTGGACTAGGGGGGACTTGGCTCAGCTGCTGGTGCGATCCGAGGACATGTTCATTAAACAATCAATTCTATGCTCTAAGAAATCATTTGGGTGCCAATGCCTGGAAGATTTTGGTCTTGACAAGCGGCTAATCTTGGCCGTCAAGTTCAACGACAAAAGCGCCACCAAGGAGAAGGGCCGGCTCTTCGATTCTATGATGCTCGTAGCTTGTATGTTGTTAGTGAATTGGGCACATGAAGAATGAACAAGCCCCGTCGACTGACCTGAGTGTTCCAACACCACCTGCCTCCAATAAGAAAGTTGGTCCTTCTCGTAAAGCGTAGCCAGCCCATCTCATAGCAAAGGCACGCAAGATGTGTCCATGGGCAACGAGTAACACGTCGCCGCATTGATCGCTTCCTTTGTCCATGGCTGGCTTGTGATATTTCTCACGAATCTCCTCTATCAATTGGTCAAGTCTTCTGGTCACATCGTGGGGAGCCCTGTAAGGATGTTAGACGGAACCATTGGAAGTTGATAATCAGATATAGGGTATTCATGTTTAGACAAATACTCACTCCCCGCCAGGACATCCATCCTTCCAGATGTCCCATGACCCTTTGATCCCTTGTTCAGCTCTGATCTTACGAATCTCGGGTGTTGTGATCCCTTCGTAGTCACCGTAGTCCCATTCCCGGATGTAGTCCGTGACCTCCACCTCGGCTTCACATTGAAGGCCAGTACCATCAGGAGCACCATGAGGTGTCCAAGGTAGAGGGCGATTCAGCCCGAGGTTGAGCAGTTCGAATGTACGCTGGGCGCGTTTTCGTGGTGAAACGTAACTGGGCAGCGTATTAGTTCACTCTAGATCAGATAAAATCAACTTTGATTGGTGTTAATGCGACGTGGTTGGAATTCCGAATTGGCTGGCTCTTGTTGGGAGGCTTCGGTGCAAAAGTCATTCTACATGAGGCCATACTACAAGTACGAGATCTCATATTGATTGTTTGGGAATCATGGTCAGTCGAAGGAGCCTTACATGTGAGCAATTTTCTTGGGGGCAATGAGACGATCCGGCCCAACAAGAGCCTTTCCAGTGGCTCTAACACGCTTCTCGCCATTGGAAGTGAGAGGGATATCAGTCAAGCCAGTATGACGACCATCAAGTGACCATTCTGTCTCGCCGTGGCGAATAAGAAAGACACGCGGAGTTGACATGTTTGGAACGATTGGAGCTTGATGGGGAATTTTGCGAATTCACTTGAATTTAACACAGTAACAGTGCCCAGAGTTCAGGCTATTTCGAGTCCGTGAGACTCTGAAAAATGCTGTATTAGGTGTCAGCCAAGCTTCGGGAGTGACCAGAAGGAATATGATCTGACGTGACAGTGGCTTGGTGATGGCGGGGTCAAACGAACCACGTCAAAGTATTGAGAAGTACGGATATTGTGGATGAGATGGAAGTAGCGGGTATTCTATTTCACAGAAAAGGAGATTTTTCAGGCAAGAAAACAAAACCGAAAATAAATCTCTACCTAGGAAAGGAGGAGAAAAGATGGCGAATGGATTATCTCCAACCTTGATTTTGGTGTTGAGGATGAACCTGGAATTGGATGGATTACGTTTGGGTGACAAACCCCGCTGTCTCATCAGTCAGGTACCGTGTGGAGGGGTACCTTCCACGTATTCCACTGACGTTCTTTCAACGTAAACACTCGCCCATTTTTGGAAAGAACCTGACCGACAGGGTGCCTAAGGTAGGTACCAATACGTAGCCAGATTAAACTCCCAAGGGTTTCTCTTGCAGGATAAATGCTATTGCTCTTATGCAGCGGCCGCTTTTGTTGCTTGCCTAATCGTAGTGGTTGAAATCACGAGTGTCCATTGGGTGTATCAGCTTGCGTCTCTGCTTCAAGTATTACGCTGTAACTAACGGTCAAAGGTGAGATAATGGTCGAAACGATAAGTGAAACTCTTTATCCTCACGATAACACGACAACTATCTTGATAAAGGTACATAAGAGATGAGTGGATTAGTAAATAAACAGCCGTGAATCTTATTCTCGCCAGGTGCAAATGACCCCAAAACGTAATTCGCGAGTCTCAATCAACTCGGTCAATCATCCATTACCGCCGTTCTTTCTCTATGAACATGAGAAAACCTTCCAATTCTTTGACTTCTGACCTTCTTTGTTCATCTCCTTGTAGCCCAACTCTTCACCTCCTGAACCTACAATGAGTTTCAAGTCAATTCTTTATAATCTTACCAATCCTTACCAATATTTTACTGACTCCCTCGGACCTCAACCTCCCTAAGCCGTGACATCAACGATACCTCATTGCCCCACGATGCCCCTCATCCCCACTACACCCACTGCACCCTGCTTAGTAAGGCCACCGCTACCGCAAAAGATCCACTCGGCGCCCAACCTCCGTGAGGCCGATAATTCTTCCTCCGCCGTGACCGTGATCCGGCGATCCGCCTCCGACTGTCTTGAAGATCCGACGCCGTCGACTCCTCCGATTGAGCTTCAATTCCTTGATTCTAGATCAAAGACCTTGTCTCCACCACCGCTCAATCCATCACGACCGACCCTAAGCTCCACGAATTCGTCCTCCTCGACATCTGGCTCATATTTTACGGCCGACAAGCTGTCACGCCGACAGCGCAGTAAGCTTTCAGAAGAGATCTGGAAGGGATACTGGTGATACATACGACCTACCGGACAATAACAAAGCATACAATGGCGGTGCATCGGTGGACCAGACAAGAAAAGTTCAAGCGCGGTGTTTGGGCTGTTGCCTTTGCAGCATGTATTTTTGCCGGCACAATCACAGGCGCACAACTAAAGACAGATAACGAGAAGAAAGAGGTATGGCAAACAGAAGGAATCGCAAAGGGCACGACTAATCAATGAGAAAGGCAATTCAAGAGTTCCGGGCGACATCCCCCAACGAACAAATAGCTGCTCTCCTATCCCAACGAAAAACTTTATTATCACAGAAGGCTGTCCTCCAAAGGAAAATGGATGACTTCGAAGTGCGTGTCAAGGAACGTGAGGCTGAGAAGGCGAGAGAAAGGGAAGGCCCATGACCGTGGCGAGATTACAGGATTGGTGCGGTTGTATTATTGTGTTGTGACTCTATTGGACTGTTGGAAACGAAGCATAGGCGTTATGGATGGTTAAAATGTGGTTTACTGGACACGGGCATGTGCTAAACATAAATTATGGAACGGAGCTTGAGAGAACAATAGATTCGAAGCTTCGCCCGAGACATACGGTTGTTTAATTAACGTTTTATTGATTGAGTTACATGTCATGCCTTCTCCCTACGCCTGACCGCCCTGCCATGCCATGCCATGCTCCTGTCCGTTTTTATTCATCAAATCATCTAGCACCATTACCGGGTGACCATGCACTTCTAGTAAAGTTCGTCCTAGTTGCTCCTTTTACTCCAGGACACCCTCGGCAGTGGGCAGAGGAATGGCTCGGTACAAGAGGATGAGAGCAGAGTGAGACTCACCACCACCGGCGAGAGTGGCAATCTTCTCAGCTTCAACCTCTGAAACCTTGTCGTCGTTGAACCACCACCACTTGCCGTCCTCCTCACCCTTCTTGCCAGTCTTGGGATCAACGGGCGCAGCCTTCTTGACATATGAGGTGTAGTGGCCACTGTCGGCGCTGGCACCTTGATGTGTCACGACACCTCGGAGCTCGTACAGACCAGATTGATTGGCTCCATCGTCGTTTCGCAGCTCGGGGTTGATGAGAGCGTTGAGCTCCTTCTTGGCCTCAAGAATAGAAGCGTTTCTCTCCGCCTCGATGTCAGCGTCTGTCTTGAATGTCTCGCCCTCCTCGCCCATGACAACATCGCCATCTGCTGACTTGCCCCCCTTCTTCTCAGCCTCCTTCTTCTCCTTCTCGGTGGGAAGGCCAGCACCGCCTGGGATATCGCCGACGTCCTGATCGTGAGTCTTCTTACGTCGCTTACGGGCCCGCTCGATATCCTCTTCATCCTTGCGAATCTCACGAACCTTGTCGCGCACAGGAATAAGAGCCTTCTTCAATTCGTCGGAGCAGAACTCAACAATATCAAGCTCCATGGGGAAAGTAACCTTTCGCATGATCTTGGCCTTCTTCTGGGTCTCCCGCTTCCAGAAAAAGCGCACAAAGTGCACTGTCAGGTACTTAGGAGCACGAGAGATCTTGGAAGTCTTGGTGTAGACTGCATCACGACCCAGAACCTCTGACTGCTTCTCGAGCTTCTCTTTCAGGGCGGCGGCAATGCCATCTCGCAGATGATTTGTTGAGCTGTCGATGTGGCAGTTGAGCTTGGCGAAGCTCTCCTTGTTAATGATGGGCTGTTCGCCAGCATTGCGCGCCTCTTCCTCATCACACTCCATTACCGAACTGAACTCGCCAGACATGTACTTCTCCACAAAGGAGATCTCCGAAGTGTTTTCGCTTTTGATGCGGAGCTTCTGGTTAAGTTGCTGCACAATCTGGGACCAAGCCTCCTCTGCATCCTGCTGAGCAAAGCCTTGTCCTGTCTTGGACTTCTCCGCAAACTGGGGGAATACTACTCGCAGAGCGTTCAAGAAGTTCATGGGAGGGAAGGAGTCCTGGGTTTGTCCCATTCTCTTGTACAAGTTTGACAGTTGAGATGCCAAGTCCATGTTCGTGCCTGTCATCATAAAGCTGCTGGCGTTGCCATCGGGTTGGTACTTATCGAGCGCCTCCTGGAGCTCTGGAATCAGACGCAGAGTCTGGAGGGTTGAGTTGAGATAACATGTATTTCCAAGGTTGATCAGACCAGCAGGTGTCGCACCAACTTGCTGAGCCTGCTCCGCCTCTGTCATATCCTCGACAAACTTGATCGCCTCTTTTGGTCGGACAAGGGCATCGCCACCAGCGCTTGGGGTACCCATCATCATAATGACCTGGCCGTTCTTCAAGCCGAGTTTGCTCATATCGGCATCATCTTTGAGTTGACCGCCTTTGAGCAAGATCTTTTGGCGTTCGGGTTCGACGTTGGTCAAGCTGAACATCTGGAGTTTGAAGTCCTCGCCAGTAGAGCTGGGGTCGATCTCGACATCGTGTTTCTTGCCTTGATGTTTCACCACGACTGTGATCTGTTAGCATCTGTTTGTGCAATTGGGCTAAATATCATGAAAGCGCGGGCATGAGAAAGTTACTGACCTGATATGGACGACATGGTTTCGGTCTATCGGAGCTCAAGCGTTGGAGGAGGGGTGTGGTAAGACCAATTTGAGTCTATCCAGGCACTGGACGCCGTCTATTCGGGGGTTCTGTAAAGGAAGGCTCTGAAAGAACAATATAATAGCAGAAGAAAAAGAAAACGTCCTGGGTCAGCGTCCCTTTGCTCAAGGTCGGTGTTTGCGAGGCGTGGAAGATGCTAGAGGTGCGTCACCGAGTGGTACCTGGACGAAGGCGAAATGTTAGTGGGGAAAGCGGTGTAGCTTCCGCGGGGCAACCAGAGAGAGCTGTGGCTGTGATATTATCAAGCCACAGGCAGCTCTTGAGGCTCAAGCTTCACACGTGAACCTCTCCAAGTTTCCCCATCATTGCCCCACCTGAAGACACTGGAGACGTCAGGCCTGGCGACGCCTCACTCACAACTGCGCCTCACCTCGCCGAAGCTCCAACCTCCAACGTCAACGTCGACCGACCCCGCCGAGCTCCGTGTTCACCGTCGACATCTACATTCGTGCTATTTCTAGTTAATTGAGGACGTCTGAGGACGTATTTACTGTCATGGTACATGCCCAATGAATCTCACGATCCGGACCGCAAGCTGACAGCTGTCCCCTGCTTAGTCTCAATCCCTCCGACCCTACCTGCAATGCGTACGCAGCAGCTTGACCGCCGCGCTCACACTCTCCAACTTTGCTTCCCAGACCGCCGAGCGACACAATGTTCCAGAGATTGAGGCCCAGACGTCCCCCGAGGTCCTGCTGCAGCCCTTGACCATTGCGCGCAACGAGAACGAGCGTGTCTTGATTGAGCCCAGCATCAACTCCGTCCGTATTAGCATCAAGATCAAGCAGGCCGACGAGATTGAGCATATCCTTGTCCACAAGTTTACAAGATTCTTGACGCAACGTGCGGAGTCCTTCTTCATTCTGCGGAGGAAACCTATCAAGGTTGGTTACTGGTCATGCGATACTCAACTGAGTTACCCCTGACTGACGTTGTTGCAGGGCTATGACATTTCTTTCCTGATAACAAACTTTCACACCGAAGAAATGCTGAAGCACAAGCTTGTCGACTTTATTATTCAGTTTATGGAAGAGGTCGACAAGGAGATCTCTGAGATGAAGCTATTTGTGAGTAGTTGCACCGCAATCCTAAATCAACTCTATGCTGACTTGTCACAGTTGAACGCTCGAGCACGATTCGTGGCCGAGTCTTTCCTTACACCTGTAAGAGCAATCCAATCGCTATTACCACATCCTATGAGATTACTGACCTCTGCAGTTTGACTAAACCCCTCAGCTGGTTTGAGGCTTGGAGTTTGCTTGGGAGTGTCGGCTGCCGCAATGTTTCTGTGACCAGGCAAAATGTATCAACCATTCGTGATAGCATTGAACTGCGGAGGCTCTGATAGGCGAGCCTCATGCCGTCTTGAGAAGGGGGGTTCAAGATAACGACATTAGACATAAACTTTGCCGACCCTACCGAATTGAGATGCGTATCTTTCTGGAAACGAAACCTTTATTGCGTCTGACAACATCATTCTTGGGGCAGAGGCCATGGTTTCCAGTCTTGTGCCCAAATTAGTATATACCTACCTACCTAAGGTAGATCTTGAATTAGAACACTGCCAGTTGAGGAAGAAGGCATTGTCGTGATTGCCTCGTGGTATCAATGGGTCTTTACGTAAGAAAGCAACACGTTTTTGGATTATCTACCATTCTCTCATCCTTCATAATTGATCAACTTTCATTTTTAATAAGCATTATTGCTACCATTATCCTTATTCTATCAGTTACTGGTCACTGCTGAACTCAATTGTCACAATAGCAAGTGAATCACTGTCAATCACTTGCAAGGAACTGCCTCTGATACCCCCTTTCTATTGTGCTCTGCTTTCAGCCTTTTCTCTTCTCCCCTTTTAGGAGACAAGTGCTCAGCACCGTCAAGCTAAAGTGATTTTTCACATACTTTCTTTTCTTGGAGTCAATGCCTTGACCCTGGTGCTGCTTCGTTGCTAGGCAGCTTTTACTTGGCCGTCAACAACAATTCAACCACAAGTGCCCATTGCACTATTTCAAGCTTGACAACGCTAACCTGTCATGCCTGCACCTTCATCGCTTTGAATCAGTCACTGAGATTCTTCTGCTTTCTCTTTATATCTTCTGCCCTTTGCAGTTGACATTATTTCTTTCCTTTCATCCTCTAACCCTGACCACTCTTCGACCTTGACACTCTGGGCTATTCTGCTCTATCAACTCAGATCATCTTGTGATCTTTCAACATAATTTGATCAAGGTTTGTATCCTTTCCCTTGCCTCTTGGATGAGGAAGCCCTTTGATTCATCCATTCTTCAGCCTTCAGCCAACAACCCTCATCCTTGAAATACTGACTTCTACCCAACACTTTCACTCGGCAACGCTAACTATCCATCAAGCCCAGTGCTAGCCTTTAGATACTCTGAAGGCATTTCTTTTCTTTCTCGCCTACGCCCTTACGCCCGCCATACACGAGCCCTGCGTACCGCCAACCCCAAAACCCGAACAGTTACGCGCGCATCTTGAACGCAGCTCTCCGATTGCGCCCATGTTATTGTTCAGTAATCTTTCTGACTCCGCCTCGCCTTCGTCTTCACAAGTGTGTTGCCAGTCCGTAAGTCCTCTTTCACTTGTCTTTGAAAGCTGCCGGTAATATAAGTACCTACAAACACCGTCGTCCCGTTCTTCTCACCCATCTTTGCCTGTATTTTTTCTCGCCGCTGAATCTGACTTGCTTTTCAAACAATAAGGCGGGGTTCAGGAAGCTCAAAGAACCGCGTGCACTCCCTGGGCGCAACCATCGTCTGAAGCACTTGCAAACACTCCCTTTTCATTCTTCAACTAAACTTGTGCCTGCAACTCATTCTTGGGATCACACACTAACAGTGAACTCCAGGAAAGGCTTCTATAATCACGTGTGACCCTCATTGCTCTGCCCTTAAAGTTCTGAACACTCCTCTGTTCTCTTTCTCTTTTCTCTGTCATTCTACCAACGACTTCGGGTGCCTGAGCTTTTATCATCTTCTTTGATCTCCAACTTGTCTCACGGTCAAGCGACTTATTGTAGACACTCAGTTCAGAAACACAGCTGTCTGTCTCAAATTGTCCTTCACCGTGCCCGAGATACACGGCACAGGGTTTCGACTGGTAAGATTTTCCCGCACTCCTATCTAATACCTCCAACAACTAGGGATCTATCTCTAGAGCATTGCAGTTCAGTATCTATTCCTTGAACGATATTTCGGTCAATGACGTTGATGTGCTGACTGACAACTCCTTCAAGTCAGACCAACGCCGATCACTTCTGGGCCACCAGATCGTTCTGTGCTTCCGATGGCTCACGGAGACTCTGGAGCCCAACGCTCTGGCCAGACAGCTTCCAATCCTCCGTTCAATGCGCCGACCTTCTATCCGCAGCCTCGCGGAATCCAAGGTTCGGACGGTGGACATCAACCCGAGGCTGCTTCGAGTATAGTTTCCAACGCGAATTCTTGGGTCCCGTCAGCCCAACAGGCTCTTCACAATGCCCTTCGGGTAAGTGCCTGAGACTCTCACAGATATGGCCTCTCAACCATCCACTAACTCTGATGCAGGCCAGCGGATATGCTGGTACCCAGCCTGGCATGAACATGGCAACCGCCCTTCCTGCACAGTACTCTGACTTTTCTGGACCTCCCACAGCACCGCCGAACAGCCCTTCGGACGGTGCTTCTCTTGCAATGTACTCAGTCATGTCATACGCCCCTAACGCTGTGGCCCCTTAGATGGGAGGCCACTCCCAGGGCAATGGCATGAACACGATTGCTGAGACAGTCAACGGTACAATCGATGACATGGTCAACAGCAACAGCCATGCTGCTCTTTTAGCATCCGGGCATGTTTCCCACATTATGGCTAGTGGTGCTATCCCTTCATCCAACAACAGCCCCGAGCATGTTATCGTAAATGGATCGGCAAATGCTGCCACAACAAATGAGGCTTCTCGTGGCAATCACCTTGCAAACAGTAACACTGGAGGCCTTAGTGGCTCAGGGATTGGCAATCGTCTTCCCAATGGTACACAGCTTATCGTAAGTCTGAACTTTGTCTCGTTTGTGTTATGTTGAGATACATAAAGTTTTATGGCAAATCTACTTCAAGACCCATCCTAACCTTGACAACCCTAGGCTACTCAGCATACTCAGAGCGGAAACTCTGGCAGTGGAGGACAGACTAGCTTCTTGTCTCCTCCCGGTGGTCGCTCATCGGCATCTCAGCCGGGCAGCCAACATTCTGCTCGCTCCCACCCTGTTACTGGTGGCCAACAGTTCTATACCCCTATTGGGGTCTCCCAGACCAATGTATACAACCCCAACTTGCCTCAGAGTGTTTCCTACAATTCGGGTCTTTCTCTTGCAAGCCCCAGTCACACTCCGCAACACTACGGCGGACACCGCATGAGTGCTTCGCAGTCTACTCCCAACTCGGGGCCTAACCAGCATCTGACAGAGCCGCGAAATTACGCACCACGATCATCCGCCCACGGTATCAACAGCTTACCTCCCCCTCGATTCGACTTGGGTCTGCAGGCTACTTCTATGACGCATGAGTCAGCCCCCCAGGACCCTTTTGGTAGCCCCGAACGTGCTGAACCTACTGCGTTGATTCCATTCCCGAATCTGCCTCCGCCCGCTGTACAGCAGGCCATGCTCACAGCCCCTATGGCCGGGCACTTCACCAGCAACATGTCGCCTGAGCTATCCCAGTTGGTAGACACTCCTTCAGGTCTTCCCACCCTTGAGACTGCAATGAAACCTGAGTATTTTCCTTTTGCAAGCGGCCCTGGTTCTGCCAAAGCCTCTGTTGCCGGCGCTGTTCGTCTTAAGAACGTGAGTATCTGTTTAGTCTGAGCTTCATTTCGCTTTTCTGATCTCTTTAGATACCTTTCTCAACCAAGCGCGCCGAGATTGTGGCCTTTATCGGCCGCAATAGCCGTATGTTGCCGGATGTTGAAGAGCCTGTTCACATAATCATGGACAGGGCAACGTCCAAGACCATGGACGCCTTCGTGGAATTTGTTACCATGGAGGATGCGATGCGTTGTGCTGAGAAGCACCACCAACATTCTCAGGCTGGCCGTGTGAGTCGTCTTGGAGAACGCTCCATTGAGGTTGAGCTATCGAGCCAGTCTGCTCTCATGCAGGACCTCTTCCCTCTTGCCCACGGCGTGTTTTGGGACGGCGCAACTCCTAAGGTACTTCCCAACAACCATCAAGAACCTTGGGAGAATTTCAAAGGCTTCATCTCCCCTGAAGAGATGGTCATGCTCGTTAAGCATGTTGAGGTGCCTCATCGATCTCCATTCTCGAAGGAGTGTCCACAGCGCCCCTACGAGTGCCTCATCAGCACTCTCCGCAAGTTTCCCTGGTATGCCGCTGACCACATCACCATTTCTCAGCGGGGTGCGATGTACAAGGCGACTATCAAGCTCCTTCGTCTGCTCAGCAGATCAGTCTCGCAGCAGGATGATCCTGTCAATCTCACCTCCCAACTTTTTCAGCGAGTTGTTCAGACTGCGATGCAGTGTCATGGCTTTACCGCCCTTCAGAAGGATAACATTGCCTTCATGGTTCAGATGATCCCCATGGAGCAGCAGCGCCGTCACCACCAGCCGGCCAACGCAAACTGCTGGGTTCACCAGTACGCCATCACGCGAAAGCCCGGCGCTCCTCTCGACCTTGTTGAGTGGTACATCCGACTGATTCGTGAGCAGAGCACTCGTGATGTCCTGGTCCGCCCTATCCATGAGCGTACCGTCATTCAGGAAACACTCAAGGAGACTGATGAGTACTGGGGTTATTTCTTCAACGAGGTCAACTACATCCAGGGTCCTCAGTTCGATCAAATGACTCTGGGACAGTGTGCCTACCTCGAGCTTTCAGCTATCGAGCGAATCCTTGGCCGCGCTCTCGGCTACAACTAAACAAACGACCAGTGGTACCGTTCTTGCTCTGCTTCGGTGCCCTTTTGATAAAAACTTGATTTGCTCCCTGACTTTGCACATCACAATTCGGCCGACCGATTTGCTTTTTTGAGACGGCCCTATGAGGCTACTCATTTCGCTTCTTTTAGATTTCATTTTCGCACAACGCCTTGCATCTCAGTGTCGCACTGGACTATGTCACCAGTGATCTTTGGTCATCTTTTTCAACACCCAAGACTCCCTAGCCACTTCTTCGGCAATATTTGCTACTCAGCTTTTGGTTGACTTACTCGGGGCTAAGGCTAGAGGACCATAAAGACTGGAGGAAGAAAACGCGTGGCGCACTAATAGGCATGTTAATTCGGGAGCGAGGATGGATGCCAGCTCAGGGTTATACAGAGGACGCTAATGGTTCGGAGTTTAAGGAGTTTGAGGGATATTGCCTGTGCTTTTGGGTCACTCTAGAGTCCAGTGGCTATATAAAAAATAATGTAATTATTAAAAAACAAAAACAAAACACAGTTTTTGGTAAATTGCGGTGGCTCTGATGCCGTGCTATGATGTTGACTGGGTTGATGATTCGTATTGATTGTACAGTGTACGGAGTATATCCATATCCATCCATGGATATCAATGTTGTGTCCCTAGTGCTCTGTATCATGCATGCCCCGACGGTTTCACCTTTTGCAGCTCCTCTTGAAAAGGTATTTTGCATTGTTATCCGGGATTTACTTCAGCAATGGCTTATCGGCCGTTACATTTTGTGACATATCAGGTTTTGAATATATTTCCTCTGTCCGTTTGAGGATTTAAGCAGGGTGTGTGCATAATAAATAAGACTTGAGAATGGATCAAGTGGTTAATGCAGCCCTGAAAAGCTGCATATTTATTCAGGTACAGGCGCTGGATAAGCCCCTCTGCCCCTGTAACAAAGGGAACGCACAACAACTTTGGGGCTATGTCAAGTGAAGAAAACAACGAGATACCTCAATCAACGAACGGCCTTTTAAGTCTACACTGCCTGAATTTACGCAATTATCCTCGTCACTTGTCTACCTAAGATAAAGGTCCTGAGCTCAGGTAGCTGGAGTTATAGAGAGAAACACCTAGAAAATCACCAGACTAAGGTACCTACCTAAGTTTATTTCTCAGCTTTCAGCCAATGAGAAGAAACATTCATCAGAGTGTGTCCAATGTAAACGGCCTTCAGGGTATCATCTCCACTTGCCGAAACGACAGGGCGTTTCCCGCCCTTGGCCCACGGACACTAATAAGGTAGGATCGGCCGTCAAACTGTCTCCCTTAATAATAAGGTACCTAACGTTAGCCTGGGTCTTTCATTCACCTGATAATTCGTGCTCCCTTCTTGAACGGACAAACAACATCATTAGTCGAATTATATTCGTCGAAACGAGTTTCACTTTCCCGTGCGTGTTTGTGTTTGTTTGTCTTTTATTATTGTGCTCCCGTCTCGCTCGGCAGGTGCACCAAAACAATCCACTTCAGGAGCCGCGTCAGACAAGACTCGTCAAGTCAAGTCAAGTCAACAAGGACAAGGACAAGGACAAGCTGAACACAAAAGGCTCCGACCTCCCCCACGATCTCCATCACTGGACTCATCTCACCATCGTCTCAATCATCTCATCGTGTCCCACCTTCTTATAGCCTCATCAACCACTACCATGGCTGCCGAACAGGATAAGACCGTTCCCGCTGCCGTCCCTGCTGAGAACCCTGTAACTCCCGAGACGCCTCTTAACAAGCTCAATGCTCGCCTTGAGGATATCTTCACCAAGACACTCCACAAGGAGATGTGGGGTGTCCAGCTCACCAACATTGACCATGTCCCAACAAAGGTCGTCCTGCAAAAGTTCCTCCGCGCCAACAATGATGACCCCGTGGCAGCTGAGAAGCAGCTCACTCAGGCCCTTGAGTGGCGCAAGAAGATGAACCCTACCGCACTCGTTACCCAAACTTTTGACAAGAGCAAGTTTGGTGACTTGGGCTATGTCACTGTCCACAAGGGAGAGAACGGCAAGGAGACCATCATCACCTGGAACGTCTACGGGGCTGTCAAGGACAACAAGGCCACCTTTGGCAATGTAGAGGAGTAAGTTTTAACCCCAGCTTCAGGGAGCAGAAGATCTGGCTATACTACTCTAAACCTGGAGGACTATTGATTCATTCGTCAAATAGTCCTCAAAGTTTGGAATAGTTCAGCTAAATCTTTACATAGCTTCCGTCTAAAGTCTTGAATTTTCTTGTTTAAATGAAACAGCTTCACTAACTCTACACTAGGTTTATCAAATGGCGCGCCGCCATCATGGAGCTCAGCGTTCAGAAGCTCAAGCTTGACCAAGTCACTGAGCCAATTCCTGAGGGGGGTGAGGATCCTTACCAGATGATCCAAGTCCACGACTACCTCAATGTTAGTTTCTTCCGCATGGACCCCGCCGTCAAGGCCGCCAGCAAGGAGACCATCACCGTCTTCTCAATGGCTTACCCTGAGTTGCTCGCGCACAAGTACTTCGTCAATGTTCCCAACATCATGGGATGGGTGTTTGGCGCCATGAAGCTCTTCCTTGCCCCTGCTACCCTCCGCAAGTTCCACCCCATGGCCTCTGGCACTACACTGGCCACTGAGCTCAAGGGCATCGTTTCTACTTTACCCAAGGAGTATGGGGGTCAGGGACCAAGCGTCAAGGAGGGTATGTCTGTCTCGTTGACTGAGGCTGGCGTGACTGAGACTGGTGAGACCAATGCGGAACCTTCACCCACTGAAGTTCCCGAAAAAACTACTGCCACCGACTCTACCACTGCCGAAAAGACTGCCGTCGCTCCCGAGTCAGCTCCCGCTACTGAGAAGCCACTAACTGTTGAGCCTGTTGTGGCCGCCGCGGCTCCTGCCCCTGCTTCCGCTCCTGCTGCAGAGGCTGTTCCAGCCCCGATTCCTGCTCCTGTAGAGGCAGCCAAGGCCGAGACTGCAGAGCAGGCTGCGGAGCAAGCTGGAGAGAAGCCCATCGAGGAGGCTCTGGAGAAGCTCTCCGTCGACCCAGCTGAGTCTGAGAAGAAGGATACTCTTGCTACTGATGTTGAGAAGAAGGAGACGGCTGCCTAAGCAGCGCTGCGTGCAAGTAAAAAGGTGCGAGTGACAGGGTGAAGGATACCAAGAAACCGTGTGATTTGATACCATAAACAATACCCCATTCAGTTATGAGGAGCGCACCAGAGGTGAAAATCACTGCTTAGAGATGTTATAATTCTACAATAGACTGAGATCGAGAATCAAGACGCTAGTGTCTGTAAAGGTATCTAATGCGTCTTGCTGTGATGCCTTTGCTGCCGTACCCTAGAGAGTCATGATACAGAGGCAGGCTACATAGGGGAGGCAAAACTCACAGCTTCTATCCTATCCAGGCGTCGGAAATACTTGGGTAAATCTAGTGCCTCTATGAATGTCTTGAGGCTATTTCATTTTTACACCCTAATTGAGTATCATAGGTTTTATTATACTCCGAGGCCAGGGGACCTAAAGTGATGCGCTTGCTGATAGCTGATAATGATGCTAGAATAACTAGATTGCAAGCATTCTCTCTGTGCCTTTATGGCGACTGCGGTATGAATGACTATCTACCTAATCATGGGCATTTGAAACGGTTGGGGAACTTCCTGGGTCAGATATGAGGGAGTGACGTCTTAGCCAGGAAGTGTTCGACTGAACGCCGCAAACGAACATAACTCTTGACTATAGGCTCTCTTTGTGTGTTTCAGATACCTGCTTCTAGGTATAGTAGGTAGATAGAGCAAAGTCAAAAGCAAAACAAAGCTTTAGGCATTTGGTGTTCGTCACGGGATGTTTTTCATTCCACGTGGTCAACAACTGATGCCTTCAACCTCAATATCTAACTTGTACCAGCGACCTATCACGTCTCGGAAGTCACGGCTATTCGAAGAGCAACCTTGGTCATTCTATCTTATCAGAGAATATTTAAACTTGATCGAGAGAAGTGGTGGGATGATACGATCAATGACTGGTTCGGCTGTCAACATACCTAGGTAAGTTGGCTGTGGCGCTCACCACTTTCGAAGTAATGGCATCGATAGCATTTGGACTGTCGCTGAGGCATTAGAAACATACAGGAATTGTGACAGTGAGTTCAAGTTAAGGGAAGTACCCGACACCGATACAGGAAAATGAACCACCAGAAATAAAGTCTACAGTGGGCGTAAACGAGAACGAGCTGCGTTAGTGGAGAGGCTGGCTGGTCTTGATCCGCATAACTGCACCCGCCGCGATGACACGTCACTTTTAATGGAACTTGGGACGTGACCAAATGTATAAAAGGATATTTGTAGCATCTCCATGATGAAGCTCTTCTACGAGGGAATGGGACAGGGGACGAATTCTACATCATAATGGCAATCTTCAGAGACCATTCTGCTGCCAAGGTTGGAATTGGTGTCGATATGCGCACCAGCCTTAGTAGCACGCTGCTTACCAGACAACGTGCATAGGGTACTCTCAAAATAACAATGACTGACACGGAAAGCACCGCCCAATGTATTATTTGCAGACGTCTTCTCTGATGCTGTGTTAGCGAGAGACAGTGGTCCTAGTGGAGAAATTGGTTGTCCTCGACCTCTTCAAGTGCATTTGCTCACCACAACCTCAACGATACACGGCTGCTGGGGTCGGCTGTCGCTCGATTGGCAAAATCACACCGTTTAAATTGATTGGCACCTCGAGGTTTTGACAGAAAAAGTCTGCATGTTGTACGAAAGACAGTTGAGGGCAATGCGAGTAAGCTTCGGTGATGAATTGGTATGATACTGCGTATGTGCACATGATGTGGTGATACGCCACTGCAGATGGTACATGGCACTGAACTGACGATACCGTAAAGGAGCATACCGAGTCCAAACTTGTCAACACTTGCAGCAAACAGAAGCAACAGACTTTATGGATGGATAGAAGTCATCGCGCGCTATTAGTTCAGTGCGTTGAACACCAATGGCCCATGAGATACCGAGATGCACTTCTGGTGATCACTATTGACCGTATCAGTGAATCTTTAGAACAATGTCCCAGTTTCTATGGAAATAGAAATAGTGTAAGAGGCGCAATTCTACACTTGATAAATCTTACTGCGAAGAACACTGACTGCGGTGGTGCTGGAGTTGCAGGGGAGGGATGATGCCGGACTAGAACCCGTGATTTGGTGATCCTTCAGGTTACATGGGCGATATGCGTATTTTTTCGGCAAATGTTGACCTTGAAAAGGCTCAGGCAAGTCGAATCATCACAGACAGGACAAGAATGCTCGAGTCCCCGGAGTCGAGTGATAGGCTTTCTGTCGCTGCAAGGGAGTGTTATCCGGAACTAGGGGATCTTTGGTGCACGGCACTTCAGGTGCAAGGTCGTGGACGCAAATAGAGTGAAGTCGACTTTGAAGATTTTGCTTCGAATCTGAGTACAAAAAGGAATTTTCGGATTCAATGGGCAAACTGAGGTGTTGGACTCGCTCTTGTTTGGCGTGCAGTGTCGAAGTGGTTTGAGGTCCGTGAGAACCTCAGTACCCGCCCTTTTCGGAGTAACTCGCCCGCTGGCCCCTGAACAAGGAACGCAACGTCACTCACGAGCATTTTCTAGAAACCGAGACTTTTCGATTTTTGGATTAAACACGAAACTCGGACTGATCCTGAGGCATTGAACAATTATATGAAGATCACGTCTGTGCTGAAACATGGCACCTCCGGTACTCGGTAGCCGAGATGCTTGGTCAACGAGGCTGTGATGCGGTATCCGGATATCGTCACTCTGAGATAACTCGACAACGGGCGACATACATACTCAAATTTTTGCATCGCCCGTTTCGAGTGAATACACGAGTTTGAATCGGTCGGATAAAGTGGTGGTATCTGAGTCAGATGCTGTCAAGGCTGAAAGTGGCAAAGCAGTGAAAGATGAGATATCGAGTTGGAGACCTGTAACTCGAGCAATATCAAGTGTGTGTGCATGCGATCAAAAAATAAACATATGCATAGAATCAGGTGCAATTTTTCCAATTCCATGAATGCTTTGGCTGCTATCGTACCGCCGTCGGAAATAAAGTAGCCTCTTGAGTTTCGGGTGGTCTGGTCTGTCTGTTTGGCCTTGCTTTGGTCTAGGAGATTCGCGTTTGCCTCGAAATTGAGCCAGCCATGTTCATCCTCGCATCCTCTTGTTGATTTTCTCCTCTTTTGCTCCCTACATCCCATCCCATCCCATCCAGGAGCACGCTCACTCATCAGCCTTTTTCTCCGGGGGGTCAAGCAAACTCAACTCAACTCTGCTCAACTCCCTTTTCTTCCTTACTCTCCCAGCCTCTCTCTCTCTCTCTCTCCCACAACCAACTGCAACACATCGATACCATCCATCTCTCTTGGGGTATCAAGAACCTAGGTATTGATGTATTACACTTGAGCACGAGACTTTTATTCTCCACTATTCGTCTCTATATCTCTCTCATCTCTTTTTTTACCCTTCCTCCTTCCTTCATCCCCCCCTCCTTTCGTATCTCTCTATTCCTTTGACCCTCGTCACGTCCTGGCCACTTAATCCCACTTTTTTCTTTAAATCAACCAACAAAGAACGCGACGAGGTCTAAACGCAGCATCAACATTCATTGTTGAACTTCTTTCAAGACAATACAATACAATACACACAATACGGCACAAGACATAATAACCCGATCATCTTGTCTTTATCTGTAAGTTGCTCTGATGCATTCTTTCTCGTTCATCAAATCCGAGTGATTCACTCTATCGAGCCTATTTTATTCGACTGCTCTTCTCTTGCTTTCTTCTATCAACATCACATCAACCTCCTTCCCGCCTTTGACACTCTCCGCATTCCCTTTCGCTCGCCGAATCCATCCTTCCTTCTCCTTTTTCGGCTTTTCTTACTCCTACACGGAAACTACTATAGTACGTACCAAGCATTAGCCTTGGGCTTTACCTTCCTCTTCCCTGCCTGCCCTGGGCAAGTCTAAAGGTTGGACCGGCGCGCGCGGGGGGAAAGCACCACCCACTCGACTAGGTATTACTGTACCTGTCTAGTCGCCCACGCTCCTTCCCGCGCCCATATCCATCTCTGGGCGCGCCGCGTTTGCTTCTCACTTCCATTTCATTTAACTCTCTACCTCACACTTTGTTCTTTCTACACACTAAAATTTATCAAGCACAGCGTCTTGACTCCTTTTTCTCTTTAATTTACCCAAATCATCCATTTTCTTTACTTTTTTCTACACTTTGAATGACTTCTGGGTTCTAAATATTTCGCGTCAAACAGTATATTACACCACTCAGGCGAGCTTTTGCCCCTGCCGAAATGGCACTCTTATTGTCCTCTGAGGGCGCCTTTGAGGTCAGCTCCACGGACGATTCTTCTTCCAATGTCGCGTCTGCAACTTCAACACCTCCTACTACCGTCGCCGATGAAGCCAGTCTTCACTCCGATTCTCCCAAACGCGATGTCGTTCACGTTGCACTCGAGTCTGACTCTCCCGAAGTCGCGCCCACTACATCCGAGCCCATCGAGCCTACAGAGACCGACAGCGCCGCCAATGCGCCGCCTCCTGCCCCAATTCGCTCGCGACGTAGCCGCGTTAGTGCTCCGGTTTACAATCTCGTTCAATTGAGTGGTACAGCTGGCCATGGAAAGCGACGCGCCAAAGGAGACATTGTCGCGGACCGACGACGAAGAAGAAAGACCATCTCCGGCCCAATCTTGGGCGATGACAAGGGAACGTCCGATACTTCTCAGGATAAAACACCCGAAACCGTACGCAGTGGTATCGACGCGCTGGGAGCTACTCAGTCAGCCAGCAAACTAGACTCACCCCGCCCTCGTCGCCAGAAGATCGCGGAGGAGAGTGGCTCGAGCAGACGTTCTTTGACGCGTCGGTCCAGTGTCTTTGCGCCTATCGCAGCTACACCTATTACTAAAAACTCCAAGGCTACCAAACGCAGTCGCAAATCCATGGAAAAGCCCTCAACGCCCATGTCACGCGAGCTGAGGCGTCTACAGGACACTAAGGAGTTTGCGCACATCGACGAGAAGCCCGTGGTCTTGAGTGT